TTAGCAAGTCTGCCTGCCTACTTATTTCCAGCTACACCAACATGGGATGGAACCCGACATAACCCTACCTGATGGCTCTGACTTTTGAGGACATATAGGCACTCCATAATTGATAAAATTAATAGATGATTCTTAAAAGAACAAAATGATTCCAGAGCTGATACAGCACTTCTGGAGTAACAGAAAATTGTAAATTTAAATGGTGGAAAGGTAAAAATTACTTGAGGCCTGAATGTATCAACATATACATACATGCAGCTACTATACACATATACATGTATAGTAGCTACAGTAAAGAAAAAATATAACATAGAAAGAAAACAAAAGAAAATATATAAAAGACTATATAACAATATCACCATGGACTCATTTACTCTTAAATAAAGTTTCCCTTTATCACAGTTCTGTTCTATTTAGAACTTGAAACTTCATTACAGTGAATAAAAGAAGAAAAATAGAACTCTACTCCAACATAAAAAGGATATATAAATGGACGTGCAGTATATTTCAATCTTGGCAGTGTTCAGGTGACCTTGCAACACTAACTACGAAATGTTGTGATCCTTGCTGAAAAGTTCATATTTAACAGCGGTACCACTCACTGACTTTTGTTTAAATGTGTCTATGAATGTCTTAACCAATGAGATAGGTATGGCAGAAATTTGTTGGCCTTTGCTAGAGAGTAGAAAAGAGGCCACATCAACTACTTGGTACTGTACCACTATCAGGGTGGACTAAGATTCGTAGTCCTTGCATCAAAGATCGAGCTGACTTGGACAAAACTAAGCCAATATCATCACAAAGAAAAGGTTCCATTTTGAAAGCACTGTAGGTGCTTATAAACACTTGACTTTTTATAGGTATTTCATTTCTGCTTTCAACATTAACCCATTGCCGCCGGGGAAAATGAATAAAAAATGGAGAAAATGCTTTGCTCATTTTTTTTTTTTTTTTTTTTTTTTTTGTGAAATGTTTCTACACATAGATGGCTCTGCCTTACCTGATTTCATCTTTCCTTTAATTGGCGAGAAAATGTATTTTTTTACTAGTGCTATGAATATCGATGGTGTGATTTTTATTATAAACATTATAATTACTATAATGTTTTTGAAAATTAATGAAAAGGGTGAACAGACGAGATAGGCAGTACTCGTAATTGTCTCATTGGTGACTTAGTACAAGTGTAGCCATCTATGGGTAAAAACAATCAAATAAGTAAACTCACAATGGGCATGGTATGGCATGCCCATCGGCAATGGGTTAACAAATTATAATTGGAAAACCCGAAGAAAATGTTTTTTCTCAGGAAATGCATTTATATTGTAATAACAGGAAAATCTGCAATTACCCTAAATTTCAAAAGATGGTCCTTAATCATTAAATGAAAAGGCAAGTCTTGAATTACCTTTCTTAAATAAAAACATGAATATCAACCCTAAGCACTCCATACAAACTTCAACCTCAAATATTCTGACAAGACAAAATTATAATTCTTTACAGTATGGACACACTCACCAGACCCTAAGTCCCCCGACTCCACACCACAAAATTAATTCAACAATGATAGTTGCCATGGATGGGTGTGGGTTGATGGATGTTCCTCCAACAAATACTATCTTCAACTTGGTATGTGCAGCAAGATGGGGCTGAAACTCTGGACACCGAGTGGACTTAGGCTGTGAGCGGAACTTTCCATGATCTTTCTCCTTTATTTGTGGCATTAACATTCATGTCTACAGATATTTCTTACACAGGTGACTGCAACTTTGTGTCCTCTACAAGGATATCAACAGAAATTTGCCCTAGCTTATTGTGTCCATACTGTAAATATTAACCCATTGCCGCCGGGGAAAATGAACAAAAAATGGGGAGAATGCAGTACACATTTTTTATATTTTTGTGAAATATCTCTGTCCATAGATGGCTCTGCTAGTCCTGATTTCACCTGTCCTTGAATTGGCGGAAAAAACGTATTCTTACTAGTGCTGTAAATATGGATGGTGTTATTTTTAACAGCAAATTAGGATAACGTTAAATATTTTCGTAAATCTATGAAAAGGGTGAATGGGCTAGACAGGCAGTACTCGTAATTGGCTCATTGGATACTTAGTACAAGTGTAGCCATCTATGTGTAAAAACAATCGAACAAGTCGACTCATAGTGGGCATGGCATGTACGTACATGCCATCCCCGGCGGCAATGGGTTAACTGACATAACTTACTGTCAAAAAAGGGAAATGTTCAAGCTCCATCTTTTTACATAAATATGTGTTGAAGGGTTCTTGGCCTTTGCTGGAGCAGGAAGCGTAGGGGGTGCAGCAATTAGTATGAAAAGTGACAGGTACATATGTGTCTTGAATTTTAATACAACTTTTGCTTCAACAATAAAACAGAACACTGTGGTTATTGTTCCGGCACTGGATCTCATTATATTTTGGCTATTCATCCAGCATGCACGCGCACCAACTCTTTGCGCACAAACACCACTACCCGAATCTTT